AATGTAGTCCCAGAGCGCTTTTAAAGGAGCAACCTGATACATCTCATTTATTTATTTATTTATTTTGAAATTGCACCTATAGACTGCCAACTGTTCTTCGAGTTGGATTCACAGGCGCTTAATTTTACACTGCTTGCCAGCAAATGCGCTGCCAGAAAATTTTAGCTCTGCTAAAAGTACAGCAAAGACGTCTAATAGGAGGGATGTGTTTCCCAGAAGCCGCCCAGCAGACGAGGCAGGGAGGAAGGCTGGGTGCACTCACCATTTGGTCCTTTCCCAGGACACAGCCCTGCACGACCAGCGGGGTCCTGCCCGTGGAAACCTCCAAGGCTGGATCTCCATCTCACAACCACCAAAGTTACTTGTTCACTTCATTCCTATGTTTCTGCTAGGAGAAACCATCTAGCATCTCTTTATCTGAAGCAAACCAAACCACGAGCTCCCTACGCTCTCCCTTCACCTGCCTGCAGAGTCCAATGCAGCAGGCGCCTGGCAGTGGTGCCCTGCAGCCGCACGTCGGGCCGTGGGACATACCGGCCAGCCCTCAGAGCAGTGTGCCTGCCGGTAGCGTTTCCACAGCTTGTTTTTATCATCCACCAGGTTGCCCCATTCTCTGCCTCGTGCAGAAGGCTCTTCTACTCAAAGAGCTTCAATGGAAGGTGTCGAGAGCTCGTAAGCTTGTCGGCCTCTCTGCCCCGAAAACGTAGGAATCTCTGAGTATTTGCTTAAATCAGAGAGCCTTGTCATGGGACTGCTCAATTGATTTGGCTCTCATACGCAGGTGAGACTCAAAAGTCATTTCATATGAAACTCTGCTGTGGAAGAGCAAGGGCAGGAAGAACAAGGCCTGTGCAAAGGGCTCTAGATAGAGTCATTCTGGCTGGGGGCAAGGAAAAAGCGGGGAGAAATTCCAGAGCTGCGGACCAGGCACCAGAAGGTTGTTATCCAAACCCAGGAGATCGGACGCTGTTGTTAGCAGCCCTTTGGGACTGATGTATGCCTTTTCAAAGACATTTCAGCCTCTCCAACAGCTCAAGCCAAACCATGTAGGCTTTGGAAATCTTGACTGCTTTAGTTTTAAGAGTACAAGAAATTAGAGCACTAAGCTGATATTCCCATGTTGCCTTACATAGCTGAAATCAGATGATGCTCCCGAATGAACCATCCAGTGAACATAGTTTCATTTCCAGAACACGGCATTGCAAGCACCAAGCCCGCGGGACACAAAAGCACGGACCTTTGTGGCAAGGCTCCCTGTCCTCCTAGATACACAGCTATCTTTCAGGTCCCTGGAACGTGAAAGGAAATATTTTTGCAGCTCTGAGATTTATGCATCCAGTATGAGTAAGGAATTGAGAATTCACAGTGCGTGATGTCAGTGAGCGATTTGCCTAAAGAAAGGACGGAGGAAAAAAAAGCCAGATCCGGACATGAGGATGTAATCCACAAACTGAAAAGTATTGCAGAGCTACAAGTTCAACAGATGATTCCAAGAGATAATTAAGATACCTTTTTAAATAGAGTATCTCATCCTTATTTTTAAGCAGCTGATGAAGAAACAAAAACAACTTTCCAATACTACAAAGAATTCAGAGGATGAATAATTTTAGGGCTAATCTTGTGTGTAGGAAGGTGCCAAAATGTTTAAAAAATATAAACATTACAGACAACAGCTCAGGAGATCAACAGAACAGGTTTCAACAAGCCAATCCAGACTGCTCTGCCACAAAAATAATACTGGAGCTTTGTCGCCACTAATAGACATATCCTATTTGAGTGAGTGACTTACTGTTTATACCTTATCTAATCAGTCGAGATGTTATTCAGTTTCAAGATTGAGGAGTGAATTCTATTCTTCTCTAGATGAATTCATTATGGGGAAACAGTCGCTAAAGCTGGTTTAACCCACGCGTCGTTCCTGAGCAGTGTCTTTGGTTCAGCGCTACCCCTTGTGCACAGCCCTGGTTCCCCGAGCCTCACTACCCGCAGCAGTGGGGGAAGCAGGAGGGACCAACAGCAGCCAGCACGAGCCTCGAGCGACCGCACGTTATCCCCGAACCTTCGGTGAAGCACAAACTTTGGTACAAAAACAAGCCTCATCCAAAAAACAGATACTAGGAGTTCAAGCCAATAAAGCCATCTCACTTATTCACAAAGCATTAGTGATTTGCTGTCATAGTCTAGAGACTTGCGCAGCTGCCTATTAATGAGGATTATCAGAATCAGAGCTGAATCTCTAGTTATCACTCATACTCAAATCTTTAGAGTGGGAATGTCACAGCACTAAGACACTACCTAATCTCTGGAGCTTTATTCTAATTCAGATTAGTCAAATGTTAACCTCGCCTCTAATTTATTCTTTCTGGCTATACCATTGTTACATAGATGGAACAAATTTAGTGAGAGCCTAAACGTGTCTTCTGCTGTGAAAGCTAGATCAAAACACTCAGTTATAACATTTTTTATTTTTATATTTTCCATAAGGTGGGGAGAACTAATGTGAACGTCAGCAAACATATCTAATAACTCAGACTTGCAGAGCTTCTCGGGGAGTAATTTTTTTTTTTTTTAAACAAACAAGAGTAGCTGACAGGTTTTCCCAAAATTGACTGCTGTGATGTTTATATTCCTATTAAAACACATCAAGTGAAACCCCATCAAATCGGGCTGTTTGGCTAGATTCGTGACTGATGGAAACCTTTGCAGAACTTACCCAGAGTAATTTTGCAAATTTCACTATGAGTGAAACTAAATTGTGCATCGGTGGAGGTGGGAGGAAAGCTAAAGGTCAGTGTTTAAATGCAGCAACTTCCTGATCTACGGTGCATCCAGAAGTCAGCCCACCTCATCTAAGAAATGTGTCAGCAGACGGGCAGAAAGCAAGCCGCAGAAAGCGGCACGTCTGCATTGAGAGGTCACTAGGAAGTGGCCCGCGTTGGCATCGCGGCCGGACGGGGCCAGAGGCGCCAGCCGGCTCCAGGCGCGAGGGCGCTTCGCCCGTTCCTCAGCCTGTTTCTTGCAAGTCGTCGTCGTCGTCCTCAGGAGCGGAGCGGCACGGCGAGCAGCTTCCAGATGTGAACAGCTGCTTCCACATTAGCGAGGCTCGGATGAAACGCGACGCGTTATTGTCAAGCGCGCAAAGTCAGTATGGACGGCGATCCTTTGCCCACGATTCAGAAGGGCGTTTATATGCGCTATTTACTCGCTGGAGTTCCTTTACCAAACTAGGCTAAGGTCCTCAGGAGCGGAGCGGCACGGCGAGCAGCTTCCAGATGTGAACAGCTGCTTCCACATTAGCGAGGCTCGGATGAAACGCGACGCGTTATTGTCAAGCGCGCAAAGTCAGTATGGACGGCGATCCTTTGCCCACGATTCAGAAGGGCGTTTATATGCGCTATTTACTCGCTGGAGTTCCTTTACCAAACTAGGCTAAGGGAGTAGCACAGAAAGTTAGAGAGTCTCAGCACGGTTCGTCGTCAGAGGTAGTTTTCGGCGTGAGAACGGACGGAGGGCCAGGAAACGCTGTTGCCTCTTGCTTTCCAAGGAGGGTACCTTCATCGGTACAGACGGTTACGAAATCACTGACCCGAAAACCGGGGAGGAGGGCTCGAGTTAGCACAGACTCAGTAAGCAGAAATATCACCATAATGCATCCATTTAAAAAAGGAACAACTGCTTTGAAGGGAAAGAACTGAGGGGTGCCTGTTGCACGAGCTTTAGGACGTGTTTTGGTAGAGCAGCGACAGAAAAACAGTTTAATAAGCTGAGTGTAACGGGATAAAGATAACAACAGATATTTCAGACTCAAACAGTATCACACATGAGATGAACGTGAGAGATGGAGGAGCTCTCAGTGCTGCATTGCCACGCTTAGTAACGTTTTAAAAATAAAGTAATTGAATAAGAATAGAACTGATGTACCAAAACGGAGAGAGAAAGGTGCTAGAGCTTCTGAAGGGAGAAACCACACTGGGATACTGTGCGGAGGATGCTGTGTAGCAGAGGGGGTGGCACATCACAGAAAAACAACCCCCACCCCCAGAATTATACAGCAGTTAGAGGAACCGAGGAGAAGTTAGGGGACCTAGGGTAAATCTACACTATGCACAGTTCAGAGAAGGTGGTAAGTAGCGGGCAGAAACTAACAGAACTTTGAGCATTACAGTTCTAAGAGCCCAGAATAGTTTTAAAAGGCCAAACATTTAAAAGAGAAATGCAACACCACCATGTAGAAGTTTGGGAAAACCTAACTGCGCTCAGACATCCTCTCCTATGTCCAGCAGCAGCCTATTCAGGACACAAACGCTCCTGCTCTTCAGCCGTCAGGGGCAACTCTGTGGCCCCAGGAACTTTAGTACCCACCAAATCTGCTCGTTGCCTGCAAGCTCACTGGTTGCCTTTTGGTTTTTTGTTAGCCATCACCTGACCAAGGATTTCAGATGAGCTCTACCGGGTATTCCTGCTCGTACCATGACATTCAGCAAAATCTGTAGGTTGCTGTTCGTTTATAATAACCATCTGGAGTTCTCACCAATATCGCCTGCAGAACTGGTACTAGCTGGGTTTCACGAGCTCTTGCATGTAGGGAGGAAAAGGCTTCATCGAAAACAACAAGACAAAAACAAACCCCAACAGATAGCTCTGCTGTGGTACTATACAATGGTGATGGTATTGGAAAACCGTATAGGCTAGGAACTGTGCAAGGCAGGCACCGTATTATAAAAAGCCCCTTCCTAAAGCACCCAAGAGCCCACGGGTGGAAAGGTGCTCCTTCCAGCTTAGAAAGCAGCTAGAAAACGTGCGTGTCAACAAAGCACCTGAAGCTTTGTCTCTGGGGCTGCTGAAGGACTTGGAGCTCTCCTCACCGCGCCAAAATGTTTCCAGAGCGACAGCAGCCAGTGAAGTGTTCTCCGCTTGTAACTAAGGATCACATCCGAAACGGATACAGCAGCATCCTCCAACAGTCGGAACAGTTCATTTGCCTTCAGAAAGGGTCTGGCCTCTTCCTTCTTTGCCCTGCCAAAAAACCACAACTTTACAATGCATCAAGGAAGCCTTAAGAAAATCTCCAAGAGGCATCCATTCTGATCTTACCTTGTCATCACAACATGACCCACTACTACATGAGGTAAATACCCAGCTGATATAATTTTAGGGTACCACCTTGTTATCCTGCACACGCCTGCAAGCCACGCAATATTACTTCACTACTCAGGTGAGTAGGGAAGACACAACACACAGAAAACACTTTTTTTCCCCCTTCCTTAAATCAAATTTTTCAGTGCAATTGCTACAGTTGTATTTCAGCTCCCACCAAAGAGCGAAGACTGAGTGGAAACACTTACAGACCTTCTCCAAGTCTACCAAACTCCTAAACGCAGAAAATACACCAGAGCATTCACTGATTTATCTGTAGTGAATGGCAGCAGCTGGGAAAACATGCAGGCAAACCTCCATCTATTTCTTCCTCTGTAGTAACTCAGAGGAATTTTTTTCACAGTTTTCTGTGGTTTATGTTAGCACTACTAAATATATAGTGACCCAGTACTTACCACAGTAAGTAGCTCTGAAACCTGTGCAATTTTTACTATTTCCCTCTAAGAATTTTACAGATCGAAACAGATTGTTCCAACTCCAGTGTATTTCTGTTACCTCTGAGGCCCATTGCGTTCCTCCCCCTCGCTTGTAACCACCATCATTTGATTAACAAGAAATGCTCAGTCATAAAATAGCCTGAACAATAACACTGTGCTTTTGCAGAAGTAGGGACATGACTGTTTGGGATAAAAGAACTTCCCAGTTTTCACATCAGCTTTAGTAAGAGAAAATCATAACCTCTCAGTTCCATCTGTGTCCTTCTGAAAAGAAAGTCTGCATGTACCTATGTAAAATTCATTAAAAATAACGGTGGACTCTTTATACACCTTGCGCGATAGCCAGCTAACCAACACATGGGAGGCTTATCCTTGGCTCAGCCCCCAAGTTTACTATCCTGGTTTGCGCTAGGTATGCTCTATACAAACAAGAAACATTGAACTCTGCACAAAGGTGGTTGGCTGAAATTCCCAAGCTTGAGTTACCCAGGGATCGTATGAGGTTACCAAAAGGACCCTCCAGCTTCAAGCTCCAAAGGACCTGCGTACCAGGCAGTAGATATATGGTGTTTCCAAACCAGCACATACAAACATGTTAGCTAACACAAGCTAGCGACCAGCAAATTTAACAGCTCTACGCGTGTCGCCTACGAGAGCTCATAGCCTTTGTCTGGTCCACAGAGGGGGAAAAAAAAAAACCAAAAAAACAGTGCTTCTGAACTTGTGTTTTGGGATAGCAAGTTAGCTCTGCTAGCACAGGTGGACCAGTCTGAAAAATAACCCAAACCAAAAAAACAAACCCTCCACACACCACTTTAGCTAATCCAAGTAGGTTCTCAGTTTCCCCAGGCACCCTTCCACGGTGGTCGAGAAGGGCATGTTTTTCCAGTCACGTCAGCTCTGCGAAGATAAGGCAGAAGCAGGTCTAACCCTTATTAGAAAGCTTGCTATGAGGCGAGGATACCTGGCACCAGGTTAGCTGATCATAAAGGGCCTAGGTTTCCTATATGCTATATTTCTTAGCCAGTTAGGCGGATATTAAAGGCAGAGCACGTAGACCCATTAGACTCTTCAGACAAACACAGAAACTTCTAACCACAAGACCTCTTTCCTGGCACAGAAAAGGCCTCTTTCCTAAAGGAAAAGGTACATAAAGGATGTGGTTACGTGGCGGTTAAAATTTAATGTGCGATATGGCAACTTTAGAGCCCTGTTAGATAAGGGTGCAATAACAAGATGACGTTGATGAAAATGTACTTTTGCTGCCTGTGCTGTACCTGCAAGGCAGGAACGGCGTTTGAACTCAGAGCTTCCCTAGCTGAAAGCACTGTCAGGGATACGCGCATCAGCAGCTTCGTGCCAGCGTCTGGATCCTGCTGGAAGAACGTTTCAGAATGGGCCAGGCTTGCAAAACAACAGAGCCATAAACTCTAGGATGGCCTAGTGGGAAGTGGAGGTGCCCCAGGCATTAGCCCCCAAAAGCAGCAGCTCTGGCATTTAGCCGTGAAAGCCAGCAACTGCACATCCCATTTGGCAAACGCCTACTGCAGCTTGCGCAGACATGAAAAACCTGTTAGCCTCACAGACGTAGCTGTGTGCGAAAAAGACTCGCAGGCAAAGAGCTTTTGATGCAGCAGTTTTTAAGTTGTCATTAATTACAGAGACATTTATTCTGTCTCCATTATATCCAGAGCTCGTATTACAAGAGATAATTGGTTCTGAAGTGCGTTTAGACTGTAAAATTGTTATATTAAAAAGCAATGCCCTAATAAAATGCTTATTCTGGGTACTCTGTACATTAGTCACTCCTTTTTGAAATAAGGAATTGCTGTGTGCACAGGGCTGATGCTGTAGAAAATTTCTAGAAAAGGATTTAGTAACTGGCTCCCAAGGAGTTGCGATGATTTTCTGCTTTCTGCTGTGACCTTCCTACTGTTCCACCATTTGAGTCTTCTCTAAACAGTACGACTAGATTGCATTCACACTGCGCTGCAGGAAAAAGATAAATAGCTGCTTAGGTTAATAAGAACTGAAATACTGGGGTTTTTCTATTGACACAGAAGATTTTCTTTATCACCTTTTTCCAGGCGAGAACAACCTCCCTAGGAACGTGACTCATACTGCAGGCAAGGAGGAGCAGTTTACGGTCCGTAGTCCCTGGGAAAACAACGATGACCCCACCATTCATTGGGTTGTCTAGCATGAAATAAAGCAGAAACACGAAATCCCCACTCCCTGTTTCTTAAAACAACGCAAACGTGGAAGCAGGACTCAGCTGAGCCCTCACTTGTACTTGGGCCTCAAATCCAGCAACGCATGAAAGTAAACAGCACTTAAATTGGAAAAGGAGAAGAACGAGAAAGAGAAGCATTTATGCAACCTCTAAGGAATGTTACTGTGATACAATTAATCAGTTGTACCTCTCTCCATGTCTGCAGGAGGAGCATTTAAGAAGGAACTCTGAAAAGCTGTAATGAAAGACGCGGGGAGTAGGAAACATGCTGCGCATTTGATAAGAACAGGGAGTAGGCTCAATCCAAAAACTCATCCAATTTTTCATTTTCCTTCAACCAGCACTAAACCAGGCACTTTTGTTTTGATATCTTTTTGAACTCATAATAGCACTGAACAAATGCGTACTTTTGAATATCGCGGCGTAACTATAAAACCGGCACCCCCTACGACGAACGACTTCAACACACAGGCTGCCTCCCAGCAGAGCCGCCTCCACCGCTCCTCGCTCGCCCCCAGCCCGCACCACGCGCGCCCTCTGCCTTATACCCCGTCGCCGCATCCCCCGGACGCACGTGGGCACGGACCTGACTGGCGTGGGATCGTTTCAGAGCCAGCTGACCCAAAACCTTCACCGCAAACGTTTCCCCCTCAGACCCTGTCCTTGGTTGAGGACGGGCGCAACAGGCTTTGGCAGTGGGGAGGATCTTATGAGCAGCCAAAGCGAAGCTCCCACAGAAGCCACCGATGCTTCCAGGGATAGGTTATGGAGAAGGCTTGGTGGGGAACGCAGTGCTAAACGAGGCAACAAATTGTTGCGTAACGAGCAAGACTTCATTTGGCAGAAAGGATTCCTCCACCTGCCTCACAGGCATAAACACTGAAGGTGCAGGAAGCCACTGCAATGAGGAAGAGGAGGAGGACAAGGGGAAAGAAAAAAAAAAAAAGGAAAGGCCTTCATTTAAGGTCAAGCAGATCCTACAAGATCATCAGAGTCTGAACAAAATGATGCATTTCAACACAAAGATGAGGGAAAAAAAAAAAAAAAAAGGAAAGGCCTTCATTTAAGGTCAAGCAGATCCTACAAGATCATCAGAGTCTGAACAAAATGATGCATTTCAACACAAAGATAGGAAGATGAACAAACCCGAAAGCGTCTTTTCAAGGTGACAAATGCAGAGGAATAAAATGCATTTATTGCACATGCTTCCTATGGAAAATAAATGTATTTCTACAGGAATAAAACATTATTGCAAATTATTCCTATAGGAAAGTATACACAGCAACTTGTTACAGACAGCATCATTTACTGAAGGAAAAAGGTTTAGAGAGGAAAAATTTTCTAGGCGATCGTGTATCAGAAAGGTGGAGCATTTTTTTTGCATTCGGAAAACAAACGCCAAGGAGGCTGAAGATGAGACTAAAACACTTGTGCTAGCATTTGTTCTGTAGCTAGCTATAGCTTGAGAAATCTCAATTTTTACAGGTTAAAATAGAATTGGAGGACAAAATACACAAAAAACATTGCATAAACATGTCAATGCCTGCATGAGCGTACTACACTGAGTGTTTTTAAAATACCTGGTCTTGTTTGAAAAAATAAACTTCCAGCTCGTTTATGTTAATGATGACAAAAGGGAAGGCTTGAATATATACTTACACGCTGTCACTGCTACTTCTCTGCATGCCAGCGATATTTCCCTCTCACTGCTGTTCAACAGGCAGGTTGTTCAAAGGCAAGAGGCACGTACTGCGCTCTTTCCCAGAGACCTTTTTGGCAGGGTTCTTTTTTCATTTTTGCTCCTTCATGTTCTTGATTCTTAAACTTCCAAAATGAAACTTCTGTTAGAAGTTTTAGAAGTACGCATAGACTTTATAGGAAAATACACATATTTCATTCACTGTTCAAAGATCCGGAAGGGCCAAGGTTTTGTTTTTGTTTCCCGAGAGGTCTTCAGCAGTGAGGTGTGCGCAGAAGAGATGAACTTACACTTCTGCTCTGTGCACCAGCGCCCGAGACCCTCGCACGGCTTCGCTGCGAAAGTTTGCTCCGTGTGCCTTCTGCCAGTGCGCGACGCAAATTGGCAAAGCTCGGTCCCAGCCTGCGTACAAGTCGTAGGCTAAAATAATAGCACCCAGGCCTGAAAAAACAGGAAACCTAATTATTGGAACAACGCAATTAAAATAATGGGATGATTGAGAGCGCAGCTGGTAAGCAGCGAGATAGCGGCCCAACGAGAAGGAGGTCTGGAGTCCATCAGAAGGCTACCAGAGGCCTCCGCACAGCACCTGTGGCGTTGGGCGATAAAGACATCCAAATATAGCACTCGGGAGATGCACGGCATGAACCGAACGCATGGTGCTGCTCGTGTCAGGTGCTGGACTACACGCTCAGCACAAGGACAGAGTGATTACAGGCAGTGACAAGCACACGCTACATGCACGGCGGGAGATAACAGCCAAGGAGGCGCAAGGCAACTCACGAGGGCACCAACCACGGAGGACTAAACCACGTAACTACACGCACGCGATAAAGAGCTATTTATAGAGGCAGGCCCAGGGGAGAGCAGGGACGTAGCGAGCTGCCGTCTGAAGGAGGTTTTTGTGACGACACGAGCCCCGTTGCGAGAACGGCAACCGCATTGATCGAGTAACCCCCTAAAGGTGCCCATGCAGGGAGGACCCCACATCTGACCCGGCTAAGGGAGCAGATGGGCCAGTCGCCTTGCGGGCCCCGGGGCCGAGCTCGCGCCCTGGCTGCGTCAGACCGTCGCTTCCTTTCCTCCGGGAGCTGTTCCACTTTATACACGTAATTCAATACCCGCTGGACGGACGGAGCCACGGGCTGCCTCGCCCGACAGTTTAGGGCATTGCCCCGGGACAGGGGAGTAAAGTTCACATCCTTGCCCCAAGTAGTAGGTTCCCTCCATGCAGAGGTCGCGTGGGAAGGTCAAGTCCTCCCTTTAACAGGGCAGGCCAGGGAGGGAGCTGCACCTTGATCTGTTTTCCCTTCCTTTCCCTTTTTCACGATAAGCTTTAAAGTGCGGTGGGTCGTCCTACTGTGGACTGGGAACGTTATCGGAAAGCTGGAACAAGTGCACTGAGAGCAAACAGCAAGTATTTTAGAGTATTTATATTCCAGTACAGAAAACTTACGAAATATAAAAATCACAGCAAACTGTGTTTCATAAAAGGGAGACAGTTGCCAAAAATGTTTCTCAGTATCAATAAACATCGAGTAAGGAAGAAAAATCTTGAGGAGAAACAGTTAATTTTAAAATGCGATATTTAGCATATCGCTGTTCTTTCTGACCGAAGGGTTAAACCACCTTTATGAGAGGAAGAAGGTTAATGATTTATATTAGAAATGATTACTACGGCAGAGAAATCAGGACAAGTATTTTTATTCGTGCCCACGTTCTGGCAATGACAATTTAACTTCCGCAGCGCCTGCGGGACCCTGCCGAAGAGCCACAAACGGCGTTACCAGCTCTGCCTCGGCAAAGCAGCGCGGCTAACGTGCCGGTGGCGCGCTGGCAGGGCAGCAGCACAAGGAGAGCCCAAGCAGCAAACGGCAAAGAGCCACTTCACAGCAGACGCCCTCGCGTGCTGCTTTTCCTGCTCCAGGGTAGTTACCGGTGCGCTAAAGTCAACGGGGTTGCATCAGAGACTAGTTCAGCCTATCATCTGCAGAACTTCTCAAGGACCTCGTTGGTGCTATCCCCCCGTTGCCTCTTGAGGAGGTGCATGGCGCATGGGATGTACTGAACACATAAATCCCTTCAGTTACTCGCCGAACACTGTGAAACTCGTAGGTGGCTCGGCGCTCGAGCAAGCAGCGCGCGCAGCTCCCGGTTACTGGCAGAACGGCACGTACGAGCCCACAGCGTACTTGAGAAATTTGTAGATAAAGTAATCGGCAGGGATCGAGAGGACGGAAGTGTTTCAGATTTTTCCACAGGTCTATCACTCAACGCGTGTGAGGGCCTGAGTCCACAACTGCCAGTTCCGAGTGTGTTTATAATATCAGGCCTCCTGCTCTTCTAAGGCAGGCCCTTAAAAGCAAAGACTCCAGCTATCGTAAGGGAAATAAATCAGTTCATAAAACACAAGACTGCCTCATCGGAGGAGGCTTTGAGTAGATGTATTATTTATTTGGAGGCTAATACATTGTATGGATTAAAAATGTGCCAACCAAGCTTATTTAGAATTCAGGTTGACAAATCACCTTTGGTAATATATACAAAGAGTGACACAGAGGGTGACAGAAGCCATGTCAAAGAATTGTTCAGCAAGTCCTGAGGGGAAAAGAGATCATACGAGCAACTGGGAAAGTGTCATAGGAAAGCAAGGGGAACATCCTGCAATATAGGTTATGACAGCTGGGACTGAGCATATTTTTTCAGACCTGCTTAAATTGGCTTAAGATAGCTTTGCCTCAGACTGAACTAAAAAAATAAAATTGGGAAGGAGCTGCTTCCCCAGCTCAGAAGAGGGTGGGAAAAGCCAGGTGGCTTGGGATGTGCAGAAGGTATTTTGTGAGTTACAGATTAAAAGAAGATAAAATTCTCGCTACTGTGTCATATTGCAGGGACAGTTGCCATAGTACCATTTGCTGCTAAGAATAGATTTCTATAACCCAGCGGCAGGTCAAAATATTTGTAAGAGGTAGGATTTTTCAGGGCCAATTCAAACAAAACACTCTCCCCTGCACACAACCGATGAGAAGCACGAGACGCAACTCGCACGCGCCAGCCGCAAACTAGAATTAGCTGGGGTAATTTTGACACAGTCGTATGGTGTTAGACATTAGGCTCTGTAAAAGTCAAAGTAGGCACCGTGGCCAAACTGCTCCTTTCGGGCGCAGAAATAACTTGCCCCAAAACAGAGCCGTAGAGGTAGCTGGAAGTAGGTTGCCTCACTGAGCGTGCGTTGTGCCTTCGTGCACCATGGGAGCGACTCTTACTCCCCCAGCAATTACTGAGTAGAGTTACAGAGACGTCGATCAGCACAAAACCATTCCCTGCCCGGCAGTGAACCAGGATCTGATTGGGGAAAGCGCTGCTGATATTTCTGCCTCTGCAATGAGCTGGGCCCACCTTCGCCAGCTCGCCTATGCTCAGCGGCACAGCCTGGGCCACGGGGGCAACTCTGTGCAAGCACTGGGCCTCGCTTTGAGTGAAACTCAGGCAGTGCTTCAGGAAAAAGAAATAGTAATAATATAAAAGGTGATGAGACGCTCCACAGAGATGACCTCTGTGCCACTTAGGACACTTCTGACATTAGACAACATTCACTAATGAGAAATGCAGTGTCATCTCTCTTCATACATTGTATTAAATCCAAATGACCTTCTACTGTCCACAGGTTACCTGTCTGTCACCAAGGATGCTGGCTCCTTCCTACCGCTTCTGGGGGATTATTCTGTTTTAAGGAAATATCAGTCAACAGGAGAACAGAGGGAGAAAGAAGGGAAAGGTAACCGCAACAATCTGTCATCTTTAGGGGATATCAGTTAGCCACCCTGATTCTCGGGAAAAACGCTGATCCAGTTTCTACCTCTTTGCACTACTGCAGAACCAGCAAGGTGTTCAGTGCAGCATATCTGCTAGTTGACTATTCACCACACTCACCAAGATGATCAGCATTTTGAAACTTAGGTATATAAAATAGATAAGACATACAGGAGTCTCAATATTGACCAAAACAAAAAGGGCAATTTTTGAGAGTTCCCAGTGCATCAGTGCCTTCCTCGTTCCTTTCTCACGCGCCTGAGCTAGGTGTACAGCTTCCCACAGTGCTGGCATGATCAAAACCTTTCTCCACTTCCTGTGGCATTCACATGAAAAAGTTTGCTGACTGTATGCATTTGTTCCATGAACATCTGCACGCTGCCTTTGCTTTCTATTTCTGTTCCACCCACACCTTCATAATCTTGGGCTCCATTTAATCTCTTCATTTTAGAGATGGACTTAAACCAGACTGCAGTACCAGCCATCTACATGTATAAAGAATTTCCTATAAAGACATATAAGAGAAGCTAAGGTGGGATGTGAATAAGTCACTAAGCATTTGTGACTTAGAGCCAGTCATGTTGGAGCAAACAGTTCTCAGGAGGAAAGCTGAATATGCCACTAGTTATTTAAAAAAAAAAAAAAAAGCAGTATGCCTTCCTCTTGCCATAATTTAATTTATCAGTCTGATAAACAAGTACAACTCCATTTGTGCTGACCAGTAACCAGGAGGCTTTTGATGGCAAAGCTCAAAAATAGAAGCCTGGAAGGAGAGTCAACGTGGGGATTTCTCATTATCTGGAACGCCCCGTAACAAGTTCATCTTTGAAGTCTTGTAGGAGGAATGTGAAGAAACATGAATCCCCTCAGCAGATGAAGCTCTTCACAACTGTACCTTCAGTATCAAGGCTTAGCAAGATGGGGGCAAGCATATAGAAAGAGGGCAGGAGTAAAAAATTAAGGGGAAGGAAAAAAAAAGGGGGGGGGGGAAGAGCAAGACTAGGATGAACCCAACTGGGTCTTTTCTCCCCTTGCGTTTTATTTGGGCCAAAACCACCGTGCTCTCTGGAGCGCACGCTTGTATGAGAGAGGTGCGTAGGCAGGAAGGAGATACCTGCTATTGGAAACACACACATAACTTAAGTGAGAAATCGCTGTTTCGGCTGCGAGCGAGACGGGGTCAGGAACCTGGAAAGCCACACTTCAGCTATGAGCACACTGGGTTGTTTGCAGTACTTCCTGCACACAAGCATAGATGTCGCAGACGCACAACACGCCTCACGGCGCTGCGACGCTTCGGTGTAACAGCAGACAGCATGCCCATACCGCGCTGGTCAGGTTGGCGCCTTTTGCAAAACCTCCTTAGCTCCTGACTCTGAGGGCAGCAAGGGTGCGAGGGTGCCCTAGAGGCTGCGGCCAAGCTGCCAGCCCAGCCTTTCCGAATCCCGCGGGAGCCTCCGGACCCCGTCCCTCCCTCTGGGGTGCCCATGGCTGCTAGGGACGCATGCACCTATGGACATGGGGACGCGAGAAATGGCCTGGAGGAGACTGAGAAACAAAACAGAGGTAGCTTTATCAAACCTCCCGAGAAGGCTGGGTTTGAGGTAAAGTTAGCTTAGTCCCTCAGT